ATATATAACACACTATAAATAAAGAAAATTGAGGAAATCAATAACACACTATAAATAGAGAGTAGAATTTAAATAGATATTACACATATGTTGGGTCGAGAGTAATATACTATAATCGGGAACTTCTCACTCGACTTCATTTTGTAGAGGAAATATAGTATCGACATTATTGAATAATGTTCGATGTATTGTAAATGTGACAATGCCTAAAGTTCGACTTCCATCTCTATTAAATATTCTCATACACAATGTGATTTATGTTTTAATTAAATATTAAATAAATAATATACATAACCAATCAAAATAATTAATTAATGAGATATTTAAAGAATAAATTAAATTAAGTATTAATTTTCTATTCGAATAAGTATTAAATAAAGTAATGAAATATTAAATAAACAATATACATAACAAATTAAGATAATTAATTAATAAAATATTTAAAGGAGAAATTAAATTAAATATTAATTTTTTATTTGAGTAAGTTTTTAAAATAAATAATTAAATAAAGTAATTAAATATGCATTACCAATCAAGATAATTAATAAAAAAATATTTAAGCAAGAAATCAAATTAAATATTAGATAATTCTACATGTACTAATTCATAAGAATATTCATAATGTACACATGAAATTTCATGAGTGGAGGATCGAAAAAATTGTTTTTCAAATAACCAATAATGTTATATCACTTGTACATTACGATATAATATTTTTATTTAAATAAGTAACTAAAATAAAGTAATTAAATTTTAATTACTAATAATAGACATAACCAATTAAGATAATTAATTACTGAAATATCTAAATAAGAAATTAAATTAAAGATTATTTTTTATTTAATTAAGTGATTAAATAAATAATTAAACAAAGTAATTAAATATTAAATAAAGGATATGCATAATTAATTAAGATAATTAATTAATGAAATATTTAAATAAGAATTAAAATAAATATTAATATTTTTATTTAAATAAGTGATTAAATAAATAATTAAATAAAGTAATTAAACTTTAAATGCATAATATACATAACCAATTAAGATAATTAATTAATGAAATATCTAAATAAGAAATTAAATTAAATATTAATTTTTTATTTAATTAAGTGATTAAATAAATAATTAAACAATAAATAAATAATATACATAGCTAATTAAGACAATTAATTAAAAATTATTTAAATAAGAAATTAAAATAAATATTAATTTTTTATTTAAATAAGTGATTAAATAAATAATTAAATAAAGTAATTAAATATTAAATGAACAATATACATAACCAATTAAGGTAATTAATAAAGAAATATTTAAACGAGAAATCAAATTAAATATTAATTTTTTTATTTGAGTAAGTGTTTAAAATAAATAATTAAATAAGGACCAATTAAAATAATTAATTAATGAAATATTTAAAAGAGAAACCAAATTAAATATAAATTTTTTTATTTGAGTAAGTGTTTAAAATATATAATTAAATATGCATATATCAATTAAGATAATTAGTTAATGAAATATTTAAATAAGAAATCAAATTAAACATTAATTTTTTTTATTTAAACAAGTGATTAAATAAATAATTAAATAGATTAATTAAATATTAAATAAATAATATACATAAACGATTAAGATAATTAATTAATGAAATATTTAAACAAGAATGTAAATTAAATATTAATTTTTTTATTTGAGTAAGTGTTTTAAATAAATAATTAAATATTAAGTGAAAACTGTTTGGTTTTTTAATTTCTAACTTAAGAATATTTTTGTCTTTTTGAACAAAATTCTATTTTTATAATTATATAAACTAACTACTTAAGGATATTTTTGTCTTTTACTCAACAAATGGCCATTTTGAAGATTGGCAAAAAATTTTGGTCAAAGTGAAAAAATGACATTTTGACTTGCCTAATTTGAAAAACACCCCCTTATGTACGTGTAGCATTATTGAAGCAGCGCACATCGGTATAATGGATTCTGCTTACTTCGTCGGCAGATCAGAAATTCTGTCCTGGATCAACTGTACTCTCCATCTCAGTATATCCAACTTGAATTTAACACTTTTATTTACTTTAATATCATCCTGAACTCTCACTAAATTATGTTTCTAGATCCGCCCCTAGAGAACGATTAATGTCAATGCACTAACATGTTTGGCATTAACTTAAAATTACTTCTTTTTTTCTCAAAAGGACAATGAAATTTAATAAAGTAACTTTTAAGTGCTTATGGCTGCATATATACTCTTTCTTTACTCGTTGCATCTGCACATATAAATTTGATTTGAACTTTCTTTTCATGGTTTTCACGTTTAATTGATAGTAAAACACAAAAATCTCAAGCATTTCACGAGCACAGACACATAAGTGGTGACTACAGAATGGGCAGTGTCCTTTTGCTCAACCAGCCAAATTGCTTGATTTGTCCAAGTTGTCTCACTTAAAAAAAACATCATTTTGGATACCTTTTACATGCTCCCAGCTGCCCCCTTGCTGCTGCCCCGTGACACATGGACATGATGTAGAATATTAGAAGAGAAAATAATAAATCGTACAAAAGAGGAGAAATAAAAAGAATTTATGAAAACGTGCATAACTTTTATCTTGGGTATCACGCAAGTGAATACAATCTAGAAGCGTTCTTCAATTCTGTACAATTTCGCCATGGCATTTTTGTCATTTTTGCAGATTTTGAGTTCTATTCGGATTTTTCTACCAATTATGTTAAGGGGTTCGCTTTGATTAGGATTTGTTTTTGACTATTTAGGTTTGAAAAACGTACCACCGTATTTCATTATTAATAATTCAATTTTTTTCTTTATTTGGTAGATTATAGTATTTCTCATGTCTTTTCAAAAAAAAAATTCGAGCAAAACCCGTTTATATGTTAAGAATAAAATCCTTTTATTATTATTATTTAGGTTTCCAACTGCGTCGAGTCATCAACGGATATGATAGGAAACGTGGCACAATTCTATTGGTCAATTCACGTGCACTAATCCATTGGGATCCTGAGGTGGCCCTGTTACAATAGCCAGGGCCACGTGGACCTACATTTCCAATTAAAATTTGAGGGCAAATTAAGCTCAACGGTAAAATGCAAATTGTATCGGTCTAGACATACATTTGACTTGATCGTCCTGAGTTACAGTGGGGACACTATAGTATAATGAGATTGGTCCAAAAAACACTCATTAAAATGAGTATCAAACGGGGCTAATTCTCCTAAAGTTTGGGGGTCATTGATTCAGTGCATTGGATGGGAGAAAATAAGCGAAGAAGAAATTGATTTAAGTGAAGGGATATCGCTAACCATGCCTACAAAGAAGCCATTAGGCATTTGATTGCATCACATAATATAACCTTATATTTGTTTCTGCATACGTTAGATATATCTACTATGTTGCACGTATGCGTATTTATGATGCACTTATCCAAGTAATTAAGAGCTATCTTATGCATTTACATTGATTCATATTGTTATGCATAACACTACGTTCACAGAGAATATTTTTTTTGTTTAATCGATAAATATAAAATTTCATAGATCAAATCTCATTTACAATACATTAGCAAACTCGGACAAGCAAAGATCAAATAAAAAATACGCTTACACGTACACGGGGTAAACAAAACAAAATGATGTACCAACGATATTCCAAGGGCCTGCCACTAAAGAATCAAATTGAATCAAAACATACGAAAACAAAACATAGTTTTGTATACGTGTTTTAATCCATCTTAAAATAGAATCAACTAATGGTCTAAGACATTTCAAAGACACTATTTATTACCATCCAAATGTAGTACACTTATTAATCATTGCTCTGAGGGGCGACTTTAAACTCGTCTATCATTCAGAGTAACCTCTCACAAAAATATATATCAAATTAAACAAATATAAGAAAGTGTTTATAAATAGTTTAAACTATAAATAATTTATACTTTTTAACTGGAAATGTTTAAATAAAAACTATAAACATGAGCCAAACATAAGATAAAGTAAAGTTACCAACACGAAACAAATATGTAAGTTAGACGGGCCTCCAATGAAACTTTCGCACTTCAACAACTGAGGATATGCACAATGTCACACTTAAAAATAAAAACATAAAAACTCAATAATTCCATATATTTTATTCCCACGAAATGACTAATAATAATTCTCGCTCCAATAATACAAGATTAAAATACTAAAGATAAAGTCCATAGTATGATAATTTCTTCTACTTCCGGCGACCTAACAACTCTCGCTCCGATTTGGCTTCGACGAAATAAATCCAACCTGATTAACATAATCAAAACACTAATCTCAAATTTGTAAAAAGTTAAGAAACTTTTTCTTTTTAGCAGTTAAGCAACTTTTTTTAGCATAAGTTATCACCGAATTAACAATTAAATCACCTGGTGATCTTCGAAGCTTGGAATCCAATCATTTGTTGCTGGGTTAGTCTTGAAAATGATCTGTTTAAATTCTCCATTAGTGCTATGGCTTCCTCGTAATTGAAGATCATCTTCATTTTCACTCTTTTCCATGTCCATTTTTATAAAACCATTTCCCGTCTGTTCAATCCAAGAAACCAGAAACCCCAAATTTAATAGTATGTATGCCAACATATGCAAATTCAACAAAGAAAGGAAAGGAATAATGAACCGAACCATGTGATGCTGTCTATCAATGGATTCCAACTCTTTGTAGTACTGGGTCTCCACAAACTCGTCGTCTTCATCCCCACTTTTCGTTCCCGAAAATATTGCCTGTGAAAATAATTCAAAAATTCAAATTGAAATAACGAAAACTGTACCAATGATTAAAAGTAAAAACAAAAAATAAGGAGCGGACTTGTGATTGAAGATATTTAAGCTTGTTCAGCTCAGGAATATGAATTTCTTCATCCGGAACAAGTGACGAGGTTGAATCGGGTTCGCTCCGGTTTGGTTTGGCTGGTCTTTTGGGCATCATGGATTCGAACTGTGCTCGGACCTGGTTCGTGATCAGGATCTGCTCATCAGCGTCCAAAACGTCGTCGCTCCGGCTAGGTTTCATGATCACTGTATGCTGTCCCCCTGTCATGGTACAGTATGGGTTGTGCCTGTGGTCGATTTGCCGGCGGTGAAAGCTTTAGAATACGACGGAAGGAGGTGATCTTAATGTGAATGGGAGTATGTAGATGGAGAAGGTATTGAGAGAATTCTTGAACTTTATCTAGTGCGAAGGTGGAATTATGAAAACCATTGGCCAAAAACCAGGCTTTGGAGTGGGCGTCTTTTGGCATGTTTACTCGGAGGGTTTCAATTAAAGTAATGATGACAACGAAAAATATATTTGTCATATGTCCATACAAGAGATAGAAAATAAATAATAATCATATTTTTTTATTTTAATGATCAAATAATTGAAAATAAATTAGGGCCTATTTTAATGGAAAAATGAATTTTAGAATAGTAGATTGATGGAGAATGTATGGATGAAAAATATGCTTATAATTAGGGATGGTAATCGGACTAGTCGGCTCGGACCGAGCCCCATTTTGGGGACACGAGCTTTGCCCGAGTCGACCCGTGAGCTCGCGAGCTTTTTTCAAAAAAAAAAAAAAAAATTGAGCTGCCTTGACAGCAAAATTGCTGCATCGCTGTCTTCAAGGTTGTAGCTTAGAAAGAAGAAGGAAAAAAAAAAAAAAAGGGGGGGGGGGGCCGGAGCCGGCCCGGCTCGGCTCGGCACGGCAAAAGCCCGATCAAAAGCTCGAGCCGAGTTTTTTTTTTTTTTTTTTGGCTGAGCAAGCCGCAAAAAAGCTCGGCCCGATTGAGCAAAAACTTTAGGCTCGTGAGCCAGCTCGACCCGGCTCGTTTAAATTGTGAAATTAAACAATAAAAGGATTAAAATCACTTGGATCAATACAATAAATGAAGAAAACAATCTAAGCAATTATTGTTTTTGGACACCCAAACTCCAACAATGGATTTTCAAACTCTTCTTAGATGATTGTATATCTCTTGATCAATTGATGAAATCCAACCTCCAAATTCCAATTTAGGGCTGCAATTCTTGAAATTTATGAATCAATCTAGGTAAATCAATCTATGTAGTTTACCTTAAGAATGTGTCCCTTTTAGCCTTTCTTGTAATTGAATTTACATATGGACATCATTTTTGGTCTAAAACATTGCCCAAAGATGGTGGGGAACCAGAATTTTAGCCAAATTAAGCTATTCCAAATTGCTGAAAATTAAAGTTTCACATGTTCAATTTGGTTCATATTCCCCCTTCTTTATTCAACTGAGTCTTTAGATATTGCATTTGATGATATTCAACTTCCAAATGTGATTCCTTGATCTAGAGGGTCATTAGTTATCCAACAATATAAACAGAAATTCGAAAAGAGAATATGTTATATCAATTATTCAACTGAGTCTTTAGATACTGCATGATTAGCGGTTCGTGGCACGTTTGTCTCGTGTTTTTGATGATTCTTATCAAATTACCGTAATCTAGCTAGTGGCTAGCATAAATATGGGTGTGATATTTGTACATGTAAATTTCTTGTACAGTACAGGTAAAGGTGAATCCTGTTTGTTGGACGTACATAAACAGTTAAATACTTCTATCTTAGGATCCAGACTTTGCCAGAACAGCAAGGTTAGTTTTGTTCTTCTTAATTTTGGAATAATTTAATTTAATTTTCTAAAAGTGAATCCGCATTTTCTATGGGCTTGTTTACATATTCATTTGGGCTTCAGTTTAGGATTGTCGGACAATACTTACTAGTTGAACTTGACAGTTTGAATTGTAATTGTTTTGAAAAGTAACTGCTCGAAAGAGTGCCTTCTTGGAAGTGTTGAATTATTTACCCTTTTCTCTCGGGTTTTTTTGGGCAAGTATTCATAGGAAGAATTTCTATACGACTCAGCAATACTTTCTATAATTGAATTTGAGTGCATATCATCTGAGTATGAGCAGAATTTTGTCAAACCTTTGATTTGTTGCAACGTCACCCCTAATATTTTCAAACGTTGCATGTGTGGCCCTTTTTGACGGTTTTCATCCAAAATTCCATTAGTTGACCAAAGAAATTATTTTGACCACATTTTAACAATTTTTAGAGGGGCAAAATGGTAACTTTGTATTAAAATCAAAAATCAAAAAATAAAAGTGGTCTTCTTCTTCTTCCCCAACCCACCCACAACTCAAACCAAAAATCCACCATTACAAAGCCCACAATTACAAAAAAAAAATCTAAGTTTCATCCACGTGCTTCCAGCAATTAGGTTCTTCTCCATCCCACCCTTTATTGTCATCCTTTCGTTTCTTGACTTGGGTCTTCACCCACTATCATCCTCATCTCCAGAAGATATACTTAGCATTTCCACCTCCAAATCATCGTCCTCTTCCACTGCCCCCTTCTTCTGCTGCTGGTGAGCGATCCCCTTCTTCAATTGCTGAACTGAGATGGAATTTTTCACAAGGACCGAAACCCGATCGAAAGGTGGCTGGACGTAGTTTCAGACGGGCTTGGAAGATGTTTTGGTGGGTTTTTGGTAATTGACATTGTGCTGTGCTTGCTCTTTCAGTGCCATCTGCAACAGCTCATCCTCGTCGAAATCTTCACTGTCGCTCAACATTTTGAGCTGCTATTTATGAGTGGGGGTGGGTGGGTTGGAGAAGACTGTCAATTCACCGTCGACATTTGTGCGGGACAAATTCGTCTTAAAAATAAAGAGTTCAACTCTTGCCTCGATCTTCTTGCATTCTATTTTCTTATTTGTTTGTTTGTTGCTTTTTGTATCCAATTTTCGGATAGGTTTATCATTTATTTCCAACATTAAAGAAATCAGTTCATCACTAGTTTTAATTTTTTATAACATTTTCTCCCAGTAAAATCTTATTCTTTGTTGCTCCAAATAGATGTTGGCTTAGAATTGAAGTTATTATCACTAAAATGAAAATATGTTATAAAGGTGGACTGTGCTACACGTATATAATTATTTACCTAATCTTTTACTTACTACTCACATCATTTGGATGGGACCTCGATTCGGATTATTAAATTACACACAGGACCCACATGTTTGTGAGTGGGGGGACACGGTTCGATACACCCCCCCTCCGCTGGTACAAACATCTTTCTCCTAACTTTTTTTTGGTAAACTGAAATATCTAGTATAAAATGCTGTTGTTGACACACAAAAAGTTCAGCCCAAGTCGAATTGCCCAAGGAATGAAGCCCAACTGGAAGATCCTCAAAAATCAAATAGCCCAAAGAACGAATCAATCAGGCAATACAGGATAAAGACCCAAATAAGGAAGTCTATGAACGCGGTAATACCATCGCCCAAGGTTGCAAGTCGCCCAAGATTTGAGCGAATGAATTGCCATGCCGTCGCCCAGAGCTGTGACCCGGCTCTCGTTCAAACATTCAAGTCGTCCAACATCTTAGCAAACATAAGATGTTATGGTGCAGTTAATAAAGCAGTTATTGGGTAGTTCTACCACGTCCCATGATTCAAGGAATTCAATTGAAGATGGTTGAACGACAAAAGTAATGGTAGCAGTTAGAGAAGGCGGTTTCATGACAAGTTGGCCACTATAAGGAAAGTGGGCAGTTATAGAGCGATCAAACAGTTTTTAAGCCGTTGATCACGAAGAGATCATCCAGTGAGTATAAAAGAAAGAAAAAACATAGAGCAAAAGACTCCAAATCAAACACTCTCAAACAGAGAATATGTAACTTTCAATTTCTTAGTTTAAATTTAAACACTTCTTTTACAGTAACTCGTATACTTGCGCCCTTTGGAGGCATTCTGTATTTATTTTCCAATTGTAAAGTCATCGCCAATAAAAACGCCCCTTTTTGGGACTTTGTCTCAAGAGGTTTGTCCCTTACACAATCGTCTAATCCCTTTTTAATTGTTAGCGACTAACCCACCCGAAACAATTTGCCACGCCCAGTGGGACAGTGGTGTTTGGTGTTGAAGATACAAAAGGTGAAACAATATGCCTCAAAGATCCAACAAGGAAGCAGCAAGTCAGGGAGGAGTTCAGTCTATGATCGAGCGATATGAAGAGTAGCATAACTCTCCACGAACAGATGGACAGAATCAAAACAGTGACAGTCGTTTTGAATCAATGGCAGAGTTGAGTCCTCGAACTATGCGTGCGCTACTTGGAGAACTCACACAAGATGTCGTTGAACAGGTAAATCTTCGAAATATTCATAATATGGAAAAATTTACCCAGAATGGGAATGTACATTATGACAACATGGCCAAACAACTGAATACTTTGAATGAAATAATGAATAAGTTAATAGGCCAAATTTGTCAACCAGTTATGCCTCTTGCAAACCATTTTCAAACTAGGACAATTGTGGGACATAATCTCCCAGTCCTAAATCCAAGTCAAGGGGTGGAACCACATTTCGGTCCCTCTACTTCAAACCAAGGAGATGGTGTAATGCCAAATCAGAGTAATAGTAGTGGTACGCCTAACTTGGGGGGTAATCCAAATGTAAGAGATAATATCCTAAATAACGAGCAGAATACCCCACGTGTTAATGAGGGAATAAATGTTCAGGCTAATGGTAACAATGGCCCAAATCATGGTAATTTTATTCCTAATCAAGGACCAAATATCAGGCCTCAAGCAAATCAACCGGTCAACCAACCTGTAGGGATTCCATATGACCCCAACGTCATGTTGAGGAATCAGATTATGGAAATCGTACAGGACCAGATGGCTTTTGGGGTACGTCCTGTCATTAGGCCGACTTACACAAAGCCATATCCTGATTGGATAGACCAAGCATGTCCATGGCCTAGAGGGTATAAAGTGCCAGAATTCTCACTGTTTACCGGTTTAGGAGAGGTGTCTACTCTAGAACACATAGGACGATTCACACTGCAAAGTGGTGACGTAACTGATTATCATAAAATGAGGCTTTTTCCTAGTTCATTAATAGAAGTAGCTTTCTCCTGGTCCATCAATTTGCCAGCGAATTCTGTCCAAACATGACAATAATTGGAACAATTATTCCACGCTCAGTTTTATAAGACTGAGTCTGAAGTTACTTTGGCCGATTTGGCGAACCTACGTCAAATGCCAAACGAATGGGCAGAAGGTTTCCTCCAAAGGTTCAAGACAGCAAGAAGTAAGTGTTTTGTACCTCTGCCCGAAAAAGAGTTTGTCAAGGTTGTTTGAGCTTTGATTTAAAAAAGAAATTCCAAGACAAGGAATTTCCTAATCTTTTCCAATTGAATGCGAACATGATTAGGTATGA